CAACTTGCACTACACGAATGATAATGTCGTGCCTGCAAGTGTAGACTGACTGCCAGATGACAGTATACTATTAGTCTATTAGTGGTGGTAGCTCTTTCGGTAGTGGTAACCCTGTTAGTGGTGGTAAATCTGCCGGTAGTGGTAGCTCTATTAGTTGTGGTAAATCTTGCGGTAGTGGTAGCTTTATCAGTTGTGGTAGCCTTTTCAGTTGTGGTAGCCTTTTCAGTGGTGGTAGCCTTTTCAGTTGTGGTAGCCTTTTCAGTGGTCAAAGGTGGAGGTGAACCGCTACCACATTCTGCTGGAACAGAGAAATCGTTTGTGTAATCTGCTGCATTTACTCCCAGACCACGTTTGGCGAATCCCTTCCAAATCTCGCACTTGTTGGCCCCATTATAATAGGCTGCATCGGACGCAATAATGGCATCACGAGCATTGACCAAGCTAGGACTGCATGGCTGATGCATCAATCCACCCATCACATTCTGCATAGCAACAATGTTGCCAGCCTTGCCCTTGGCATCGTAGAGATTGGTAGAAAATCCACTCTTGGTGACCAAGTTCCAGTAAACTTCCCAAAGCATGGCTGCCCACACCTCACCAGCCTCGTGCAGCTCTGTGCGGGTTTTAAGGTCGCCATATGTCAAAGGGTTGATTTTCATGTCCGTAGTGTAAGGATGCGAGCGAATACCTTCGGGTTTATTAATAACATACGCTCCAAGGATAACTGGCGTGTCGGCTTTGTCGGATTCTTTGGCAGTCACGATCATGGCAAATATGTCGGACCAACCTTCGCTCATACCTCTAGTTTCATGGCCCGACATGCACAAAGGCGCCAAAGATCCACCTGTCAAACGAGTCGAAACACCATGACCATATTCGTGCAAAGGAACTTGATTGTCCAAACCACCACTGCGGTTAGGCTTGACGCGGGTAAATCGGAACATTTTCATTTTACCAGGCTGGCCATCAGAAGGTGTCAGGAATACAGCATCGTTGACACTCGACGAGTCCAGAATGCTAATACTGATAGCATCACCGCCTTTACCGCCCTTTTCAAAGTTGTCATTTTGGAAATTACCTGCAGCCTCGGTGAAACCATACTGGTATGTGATATCGTGCATCAGGTTGCCAATATAAAACAAATTTACAGCAGCTGCCTGCATGTTGTCTGGATCGTTGGGATCAGCTTCTGGATTGAATTTAGTGTCAAACACACCATCAATGCCGGTTCCTGGAGCTGGCGGTGATTTTGTAAAGTCGACAGCATTAACGTTGTTACCCTGAGTGGCAGTTCCGTTTGTCCATCCGTTGGGCGACGATGGTTTGTATTCTGGATCTTTGATGTCTGAAAACCCACCGTCATTGGGATTGAAACCAGGAACTTGGATAGCCTTGTATGTTGCACGATGGGCGAAATCAACAGCCTGGATCAGTTTGCCTAGTATCAATCCATTTACATTCAGATTAGTGCTGATTCCACAAAAATCAATACCTGAACCCAAAATACCATACCAGTGTTAGCATCGGCCCAGACTTGGATCCAAGAACTAACATCCTTGTCGCGAAGCTGAAATTTGTAAGCATACACAAGCGTGCCATCTCCTTGTTGAACATACTCCAATTCGTAATCAAACTCGGTATGAACGAGCAAGCCCTTGGCCTTGGACACAATATCAGCAACCTGCTCAAACGTCAGTTTGGTTTTGGGTTCCGCAATTGAAAGCTCACTTTTGGCAAAATGGCTTTCAGTACCAAACGAAGCAGAGTACGAGACAATCTGGCCGTCCTGGATATGGACTGCGGCTTGGTGATTGGCTACACGTGCATTATTAACCATGTGTGCACCATATATGTGTGTTACACCTGCGCCGTCTGTAAAGTTATTGTAAACCTTGAACTCGTTAGGTGTGAGATTGAGTTTGTCACAGAGATACGCAACACCAGTTTTGACTGGATCGGTATTAGACGAAGCCATGAGGCTGGATGAGTGATCATAAGGAATCTGCTGGTAAGTGGATTTGGGAAAGTAGAATGGAAGATCGTCAACGGCATCTTGTGTGGACGGAATGGTTGGGACTGCAAAAACTGCAGGGGTGGCAAGAGCAAGAACAAGAGCAACAGTAGAAACAAACATTTTAAAGTGTCTTCGATATTTATAGTGTATATGTAGCAAGTACAGGATCAAATTGTTACAACAATATGGGTCAATGAAATTGGCTGCATACCATTTCACGTTGTTTTATATTTTGAATCATACATTTTACAGTGTCGAGTTTACTAGATATACATGTGCTAATCAAGAAACATGAATATCAAATACACGTGTGGATATATCACATATCCAAATTATGCATGTGAAACGGGTTCATTATTGCATTGCTTTTGATTAGAATAGTTGTGCAAATGACAAGTT